GGGGGCAGCGGCGCAGGCCGAGGGATGTGCTGGCCTCCATTGGCCTGGAGCGGCGAACCGCAGCCAATGGGAGCTGCAATCGGCTGAACCTGCGGATGTAGCAGGTAAACAAGCCGGCCCGGCCCACCAAGGGGCGTACCCTGGTGGGCTGCGTGCCAAAGGTTGCCGATCCCTGATCTAAAGCCTTTTAAGCAAAGGCTTTTTTTTTTTTTTTACTGTAACTGTGCTGACTGAATCACAATGCAAACTGTTGTAAAACTCTGTTCTTTACTTTTTTCCCCCTTGCAGTTTTGATCTTACTAACTTCATAAAAGAAGTACAAATTAAAAATGGAAACAAACTTTCAGGATTGAGCTCAGATGAAATCCTTACCCGAGTGACAGAACTCATTCTGGACCATCAAAATAAGAAAAAGGTACATGGCAGATGTCAGACTTTTTGCACCATAATTGATTAAAATGGTGAAACAAAGCTGAAGAGGATACTGAATGTTCTTTAGCAAGTGCATGGCATAATGTTTGATGATGATAAAAATTTCCTTTGCAATACCTCTGTAGGCTCCAACCTCAGCAAAGAGAACCAAAAAGCCAGCATCCTGCGTTGTAACTCAGACTCTGAAAGTAGCCAAGTCTGCCGTGGGAAATGTGTCTAGCCTATCCAAGGCAAGGCCATCCTATAAAACTGTTGCAAACAAAACAACTCAGCCATCACAGCCAACCCACCAGCCGTGGAGACTTGTTGGAGGACCATCACAATCAAAATGGATAAAATCAAATGATTCTACTGTAAGTTTTCTTTACTCTTCCACTGATTTAAATATATATATATGTATTCAATCGATATATCAAAGCACAAGGGGCAATTTTATGATGCACTACTCCATGGTTTTTAATTAAGTCAAGGTATTATATCTTACAAAAAATTCAACTAGGAAATCAAAACTTCTATATTTTAAAAAAGAAAATCTGTATTATTTGCTTCACTAATGTTCTTAGAAGATACTTTATAAAATATCTTCATTAGTCAGATGAGATCTCTGTGCATTGCAGTAATTAATGAGACAGCCTGACACACACACACACACACTCTCTCTCTCTCTCTCTCTCTCTCTCTCTCTCTCTCTCTCCCTCCCTCCCTCCCTCCAATGAGGGATGCCTTTTTTTTAATGCCTGTTGCTTTAGGCATTGTAAGCCAATTCTTTGAGTGTTCCCTGGTCTTCAGAGCAGAGAACTGGAAAATCTCTCCCTGTGTTCTGCTCCTGGCTGTGCCACTAACTTGCTGCAGAACTTCAGACAAGTCACTCACACTCTTCCTGCATCAATATACTTATCTGTAAAATGGTGATGGGTACCCTACTTGATATCTTCCCTACAAAGTGCTTTGAAATACTTATTATTCACTTTCCTAGCCTCTATTTTTAGAAGCATAATGTATGTAACAGCACTATCAGGTGTGATCATGTATGAGGCTTTATTTTAAAGGTGATTTGAGAAGGCAGAACAAGATTTATCTGAGGTGTTTGCAGGATGCAATTACCATAATATGCAAATAAAAATGGGAGATGGGATTCCCAGACTTTCAATCACTAAACTTTGCCTTTTGTAAAAATGTCATTGCTCTGTCTTCAAAAGCATTCCATAATGGTTTCTCAGCTTCAGTAGCATCACTTGCGTTAACATAGGGTTACCATATTGCAGTCCTGGAAAAAGAGGACACTCCAAGGGGCCCCGGCCCCGCCCCAACTCCACCCCTTCCCCAAAGTCCCTGCCCCGACTCCGCCCCCTCCCCTGAACGCTCCGCCCCCTACTCTTCCCCCTCCCCTGCTTCCCGCGAATCAAATGTTCAGAGAACGGAGTGGTCTCTAGTAGTCAAAGACCCTTCTTCCCCGTCCCCTCCAGTCTATGTCTATCCTATTGCTGTCTAACCCGCCCCAGCTCCTCATCTGATTTCAACTGCCCCCCACTACCACTCTGGATTCCTTGTCCCAGTTTCCCGGTCCTGTCTCACTCTCCTCTCTCCCCGCCCCCATCCCTCAGATGGGATGTTCATTCCAGATTGGCAAAATTATAAGGCTTCCCAACATTTCAACACTTCCCATTCTAAATTTTCGGTTGCTTAACTATAGGCTAGTTCTGCCTACAACAAAGCATATTCAGAACCTCTGATTAAAGGGATTATAACTGTAGCAACCTCCATCATAACTAGTCACCAAAGATTGAACCCGAGCCATCCAGACTTAAAAGCATGAGCTTCTACTACTTGAGTTCAAGATATAACTTCCTTAGCTGGTAGCTATACAGTTATCCTCTAAAAATCCACCACAGGAGGGCACAAAACACATGTTGGACAGTGAATTACAAAAGTGCCAAATATTATTATTAGACCTGCAATACTTTTCACAATGAACATCAGCGGGGGATAAACTGGGAGTTTAAGAATATTTGGAAAACAATTTTAGAATAACATTCAGTGCTGATTTTATTTCAGCCCACATCTTAATAGTTTTGAATACAAGATCACAATTTTCAGCTCAGTTGGTCTGAACGTGCAGAGCTTTAAAATTGCTATACTCTAAACTGTATATTAACTACAATTTTATAAACCTGCATGTCAGAGAACTGTGTGCCACTACTACTAGACAGTGGCACAAGGCAATTCAGTGTGAATCACAGAAATGTAGGACTGGAAGGGACATCAACAGGTCATCTAGTCAAACCCCTGCACTGAGGCAGGACTGAGTAATAACAACTCGACCATCCTTGACAGGTGTTTGTCTAACCTCTTAAAAAACTCCAATGACTGCTATTCCATAACCTCTCTAGGTAATTTGTCCAGTGCTTAACTACCTTTACAGTTAGGAAGTTTTTCCTAATGTCTAACCTAACTCTCCCTTGCTACAATTTAAGCCCATTGCTTCTTTTTCATGCATGGCCTGAGTGGGACGGGGGTGGGGGTCCAGGCAGTGGGATTGGGGGGAGGGAGGTCGAGGGAGTCAGTGGGTGTGTGGGGATGGACCGGGGGAAGCAGGGTGGAGGAACTGAGGGGGACAGGACTGGGACTGGGGGGGGCTGAGGGGGATGGGACAGGACTGGGATGGGGGGAGTAGGGTAGGTGCTGAGGGGAGCATGAATGGGACAGGGTAGAGAGAGCTGTGTAGAGTGGGGTGGGGCGGGGGAGACAATGGGGCTGGGCTGGGGAGGGTTGGGGGGTTGGGGAGAGGGACAGGGTCTGGAGGGGATGAGACAGAGGGGAGCAGGACTGGAATGGTGGGAAGTTGAGGGGGTGGGACAGCAGGGGGAGCGATGGGGTGGGATGACGGGAGAGGCTGAAGAAGAGATTTGGGGTAGGGCAAGGCTGAGGGCAGTGGGTTGGGGGGAGCAGGGGGACTGTGGGGGAGGCTGTTGGAACAGGGGCAGGGACTGAGGGCAGTGGGTTCGGGGTGGGAGGTACAGGGGGGCCTGCGGGGGAGGCTGAGGGAACAGGGTCAGGGTGGGGCCTGAGGGCAGTGGGTCTGAGGGGAGCCCCCCCAGAGGGACCTGCCAGGGGGCCAGGTGAGCCCAGCAGTGCTTACCTGGAGCGGCTCCCAGGAAGCATCCAGCAGGCAGGTCCCTCCCAGTCCCTCTGGCCCCTTCCTAGGGTTGGGTCAGGTGGAGGGGAGGGGGGCAGGGGCGGGGGGAGCTCTCTGCCCGGCGACCGCTGCCTGCTGCCGGAGTCTACAGGCCCCGCCCCGCTGCAGCACGCAGGGGAGTGAGACCTCCCTGCCTCTCTGTGTGCCAGGGCAGGGGGAGGGCTGCGCTCTGCAGGCTCCTGCCGGCCAGGCGGGGGGGCCCCGTGGGCTGGCGCCGCTGCGCCGGGAGCTCTCAGCTGCGCGCTGCCCCAGGGCCCAGGGAGGGAAGGAAGGTGAGTGGCGCCGGCGGCGCCGGCTTGCCGCGGTTCCCCCAGCGCGGCTGCCCTGTCCTCGCTTTTGGGTCTTTAAATAGCCGTCCGGGGGAAATCCCGGACATTTTTAGCTTTTTACAAATTCCCCCCGGACGGCTATTTAAAGACCCAAAAGCCGGACATGTCCGGGGAAACCCGGACATATGGTAACCCTAGTTAACAACTTACTTTGAAATACTGTTGTTCTGTTCTGTTGTGCTTTTAAAAAAGATAGGAGGAATGGGTTTGTTTACAATAGGTTGTAAGCTCTTCAGGGCAGGATCTATGCCTGTTTTATGTTTGGAAGGCACTCAACCCACTGTGTTACAACTAGCTGACTATACTTGATTGATTTTTTTTAAAGTAGTTGCTAACTTTACATAAAATAATTTAAATATATATATTTTATCTCTAGACATCTGATGATGACCCCTGCATAATATGCCATGAAGAGCTAAGCCAGGAAGATATGTGTGTGCTAGAATGTGGACACAGTTTTCACAGACGGGTAAGGGTTAATAATTTTTTTTATATTCTCATACTATTTACATGTGAGTCTTTTGAACCTACCTATCTGGTGTAAAAATATTTTTTGAGTTAGACAGATTTCCCACCTTTTCAAAAAAGCCCCCAGTTGTATAGTATTTAGCATTGATATTAAAGTAGCAATTCATATATTGGTTTTTATTGTATCCCTTGTAATAACTCATTGTATGTTTGAGAATATTCCTCTTTTGTATTTTCAGTTGGCAAAATTTTCTTGTATTTTAGAGAGCTAGACACTAAAATGGTTTTGTTAAACTACCATTTAAGCTTAAAAATAAAGCTGACTCCAACCCTTCTATTCAAAGTGTCATAAAGTTACTAATTAATTACATCTTTCTGCATCACTTCAAAAAACTAAAGTGCTATAGAAATGCTAAGGTCATTAGCTAGGCTACGATTTTGTCATGGACATTTTTAGTAAAAGTCACGGACAGGTCACGGGCAATTAACAAAAATTCACAGAAGCTGTGACCTGTCCCTGACTTTTATTAAAAATGTCAATGACAAAAAGGGGGAGAGAGGGAGGATCCAGCACCCTGCCCAGCTGTGGCTGGGATCTGCAGCCCCTGCCCCATGGCTGGGAGAGCCCCCTGCCTGCAGCAGCTGGGGAGCTGCCAGGGGATCCCCTGTGGGGACTGGAGTTTCTGGGGGATTCCCCATGCTGTGGGGGCCCCCGCCACTCCAGGGAAGGTGGGGTAGCCTGCAGCTCCCAGCCGCTGTGGGCTGAAGTCACACAGGTCTGTGGAAGTCATGGATTCCTCTGCGACCCCATGACCAAATTGTAGCCTTACTCATTAGCAATCAAACTCCAGACCTATAATAGGAACACAGGCTTCATTGCCAGTGTTTTGTTAAAAGGGTAGGCAACCATGAAAATAGGCACATCTATAGTAAGTTCTTACAGTAAGGAAGAATCAAAATTGTATACGAAAGTACATTATCTACTGGTATGTAGGACTTTATTAAAGTTGATGATTGAAAAGCTGTCCATGTGCACTTCATTTTTTTTTGGGGGGGGGGGTTCCAAACCTTAAAAATAAGTGTAATAAAAGTAATTGTATAATTGGTGTACACCAGAAATTGGTTTTAAAAAAACCCATAGTCTGTGTAGCATCATGGAACCAGAGGCTGTATTTTTTCCAACACCAAATCTTAACTTACGATTGAATGCTTTGGACAACTATCTATTTTTAAATGTATTTTTGTTAGTATTTATCACTAAGTTGAAAACTCTTAGTATAGCTGAAATTAACTAAAGGTTTCTGACATTTCTCTTGCCATCTTTTACAGTGTATTGGAACCTGGCTTAAAACACAAAGTACATGCCCAACATGTCGAGTTCATGCTCTGTTACCTGAAGATTTCCCTAAGCTTCCTGGACGAAACCGACATGCTTAAATTTTGCCTTATTAATATTCAGATTAGCAAGAAGATGCAATTCATATTAGTAGCTGCAAATAAATAATCTTGGTAACAAATGTGTATGTGTAATGTGCTGCCTAGAAACATAAGCGAAATCCTGGCTCTGTTGAAGTCAATGAAGCCAGAATTTCACTGAGTGTTCTAGATCATGAGAAATAAATATTATCATTTTTATTCCAATTAAAATTTAGAAGAAAAAAAATCAAACCAGTTAATTTTTAATACTGAAAATGCTAGCTTTTTTTCCGATTACTGGCCAAATGGATGTGTATATTAACACACCATAGGCTATCTTGAAGAGGATTTTATGTATTATCCGTTTCGTATATTTAAACTGAACAAAATGTATATCCCAAATGTATCAGGGTAAAACATGGGGTATTTTTTTATTTTAAAGGGATACCTAAGCCACGTAGGCCACCAAATATACCTTCCTCTAGGGAAGGCCTATGTGCTTCATCCCTGGAAGATGAAGAGTGATCTCTCTTGAGAATTCAAGCAAAAGGTTAGATAATTACATAAACAGCTATTAAGGAACATAATTTTTGGGACCTAAATACTGTCCTTTTTTTGAAAGTTCTCTACCTTTAAAAGGTCCGATCAGATACTATTTGACTCCAAATTTAGCATTTGTAAAAATTTGTCAATTAAAAAAAAAGACTTCAGCTGATGTTTACATGAAAAAGAAATCAAAATTCCAATTAGTTCATTTAATTAACATTCTCCTGCAAAGTTGGACCACAAACATTACCGTGTTGCTTCAGTGTAAAAAATAAATACTAACTTTTTGTCAGCTTGGTCAGTCAAAATAAATTAAACTGCTTAAATAATGAAAAGTAGGATCTTTTAAAACTTCAGTTTTAATTAGCTGTGCTGTTTGTAAGTTTTTTTTAAATAAATAAGATTAAAATCTATACATTTCCTAATCACAAAGTAGTGATTGTAGTTAAAGGCTTCAAATCACAACTTGTTCAGAATCCATATCATAACTGTTGGGTTTTTTCCCCTACAGATAATGTTTCTATACTAATACTGTTTTTGTATAAACCACAACTTTAAGTATTTTGAATTAGACTAGATCATTTTATATTTTGAATAACCACTATTATGTGTTAACATTTTCTGATTGTAGACCTCCAAGCGAATGATTTATTCACTTTTATCATGTTTATTTTTACTCTAACTCACTACATGGTTTAAACCTTCTACTGCTACATGCAGTTTCTGATTTTTGTTTAAAGTGATGTAAGAACTTACATTTTCCTCTAACTGTAAATGTTATTTTTTGAAGATGAATCAAGTATCATCATTAGTATTTAAATTGAAATTGTATTCTGTGCATGGACACTGGCTTATCTCTTGTTCTCAGATATGGGTAAATGCATCTGGAAAATTAGATTTGTTACATTACTTTTTATTGAACCAGTCTAAAATGTTTATCTGAACTAAGCTTAGTGTTGGTCTTTTTGAATTGTCCCCTCAATCACAACAACGTGCTTGCAATTGGGGCATTTTTTAAAACATCTGCTCAGAACTGCCTCTACTGGCCTAATATTTTGCATTAGTCTTGTAGCATTTTCTTCAAGTTTTGAAGATCAATACTGGTTAAGAGTTAAGATCTGTTAATTGCTGAGTTACTTGTCATAGCAACCTGAAGACCAAAACTAGGTTACGTACCACTAAACATTTCAGACTCTGAAAATGTCAAGAGTATTAAAGTTGACTGGTTACATGAAATAAAATGTCTAATGTAACATAATCTTCCCACACACAGCCTATTTATACTTCTTTTGAAGTTTTTTGTTAAATCTACCTAGTAATCAATTTAGTATGTTTAATGTTAATTTGAGGCTTGTGATCAAGTAAAATTATTTCTACATCTAAAATGTGTGGTTTCTTTGTATAAGTTCATAGTTACATATGTAAAACACACTCACTAAGTTCTTACTTCCACTGATTAGGAACTCACATCTTACCTAAACATAACTTAAGATTTCCTTTCTTAGGCGTAACCTCTCTCCCAATCCATGACTTTGCCACAAAATGAGTTTGATACCCCCTGTTGTACACAAATATTCATAGGTGATACTGATGTGGAAGTATGGGGATATAGAGGTAAGCTAAGGTCCTGAGAAATCAGAATATCATTGGGAAATATCACAGCTAGAGTTCTATCTCGACTTTTTCTTTGGCTGAGATCTAGTATTACTCTGGATGTCCTGATGTGCCCATGCCCCCACCCCCAAACAATATGAAAGCATAAAGGGTGGAGCAGGGCCAACCATCTCTTAATTTCTTCTTACCACCCTGGCATTGAGACAGAACTTGGGCTCTACCCACCTTCTGCCCCACATTTACACCTCATTAGAGTAGTTACTTAGTTGTAGTTAGCTGCTTGTTTTTATATTGCCAGTGGGCAAAATTAAACAAAATAATTTGTTGTTAATTTTATTATATTAAGTACAGTTCTCCATACAGGGGCCTTAGACTTCATGGCAGAATTTAAATCTCTGATGTCTTAAATCTTGTCCCAACTGTGGTGTTTCTGTGCCTCTTAATGACTGGCACTCCAGGTTCCTTTTTCGTTTTGGAGAAGAGTATATCCTGGATCATTGTTCTATCTGACACTGCTTCTTGAAGTGGTCTCAGAAGGCAAGGCATGCTGACTTAAAGCTTTCTATTGGAGCCCCCAACGACGCTCGTCTCAGACTCTGAAAAGAGAGAGGTGGCCAACGGACAAACCCCCAAGCAGTCCATTACTGTTAGCACCCCTGTGAAATGTGAACCCCTGAACTCCTAGGCTGCCTCCTTGTCCAGAAACTTCAGGTGTTAGTTACTGAGATTTGAAGGGCACAACAGGCCTCCTTGATGCAGTCAACCTTGTTCTGGGGGAGGACGTTCCAAAGACAAGCCTAAACATAGGTCACCTTCTTCAGTATTTATGAAACCAAGAAACAAGTCACCATTTCTTGGACTCATCTCAGGCTTCACTGTCAAAAAGTAGTAAACTACCCAAGACTGGGTCCCTCCAACACCTCAACACTGACCATGTACTGAGTGAGTCCAGTATCATCCAGCTCTGCAGACCACAGTCCCTTTGGTACACACTCCTAAGCACCAACACTCTGTATAGATACTCTCTCTATACCTGTGTCCTCAGCACCAAGTTTTCCAGCACTGACATGCTGAAGCCCAGCATCTCCCACAATTACAATACACCTCTACCCCGATATAACACGAATTCAGAAATAACGTGGTAAAGCAGCGCTCGGGGGGGGGCTGCGCACTCTGGCGGATCAAAGCAAGTTAGATATAACGCGGTTTCACCTATAACGCGGTATGATTTTTTGACTCCCGAGGACAGCATTATATCGGGGTAGAGGTGTATGTATGGGTTATTGCCCTCCTGGCTGCAGTTTCCGGAGGCAGCTCACAGCTGTAGCCCAACCTGTTCAAGTCATGCCCCCTTCTGCAGCTTACTGCCAGATCTTCTGCAGGCAAGTGACTGTTCACTTTGCTCCCAACTTTACCCATTTTTTCGGGCTGTGGCATGCACCATTTCTTCTCCCGGACTAGTTGTGCAGTGGCGTGATCTCGGCCCCCACTTCAGGCATGGCAGAGCTGATGTGCAAACATCGAGCTAAATCCAAGCAGTGGTCTATTTGTGAGGAAGCTTTTACAGGCTCTTTAGAAGGCAAATTATGCCCTGCCTGTTCTCAGCCAACTGGAGGGGCTGTATTGGACAGGCTCATTGGGTTCCCACCCTGTCCCCAAGAAGCTGCAATTCCAACCCAGAGAAGCGTGATCCAGTGTTGCTGAGCAGACCGGGGAGAGACTCCAAGGACAAGGAGGACTTTAGCCAGCCAGCTTGGACAGAACAGCACCAGAAGGAAAAAACCCTAAGGGGCTCCAGCCCCCCACCCCCCCACACACATCCTATAATTCCCTGGGGAGAGAAGCAGGGCTCGTACTCAGCTCCCCTTCTTCCCAGCTCAAACTGGGGAATTCTAGCAATGAACCCCAATTCCCTGGGAAGGGGGAGAGGGACCCTGAGAGAAATCCAGAGGGCTCAAGGTACCATACAAAGCAAGCTGCAAAAGCCTGTGCCCTGACCATAGCAGGGCAGCAACACGAGCAAACTGGACCAAAAAGCGCAAAAAGGAAAAGCAATGGCATTTAAAACAAAAACTAAGATTTGTCCTCTGCCTCAAACATCACCACCTCCACTGAGAGGTGAGCACTCAGATTCAGCCTCTGAGCAGGGCATAAAAAAAAAAAAAAATGCAACAAAGTTGTTGTTCCACCCCCATGTGCAAACAGGTTGTATCCACACTTCAGATCCAACCTGAGCCAAGCACACACTGCACTGACAAGCTTAAAGGCAAATACCTGTCTTCCAAATCTGAGACAGACCGCCGTCCCATGGTACCCATCTATGAGGACATAATCAGGGAGGAATTGGAAATATCTGACCAGAGTAAGTGCATAACTAGGCATACATTTATATCTAAATTGCAAGCACCACAAAAATGCCATTACAGATATATCAGGGTTTCTCAAACTTCATTGCACCACGACCCCTTTCTGACAACAAAAATTACTACACGACCCCAGGAAGGGGGTACTGAGCTTGCCCCAGGTGGGGAGGGCCAAAGCCCAAGTCCCACGGCCCCAGGCGAGGGTGGGGTGGAGGAGCCAAAGCCAAAACCCCAGGACTTCAGCCCCAGGCAGGGTGCCTGTAACGTGAGCCCCACTGCCCAGGGTTGAAGCCATTGGGCTTTGACCCCGGGCAGTTGGGCTCAGGCTTCAGCGCCAGCCCTAGTGACCCCATTAAAACAGGGTTGCGACTCACTTGGGGTCCCGACCCACAGTTTGAGAATCGCTAAGAGATACCAATGGTCGATGCTGCCGCAGTATCTCTAGGAAAAGGTATGGTAATACCATCTGAAGGGGATTTATTTCCCAAAGCTCTAACTTAGCAAGGTAGAAGCCATCCTCAGAAGGGACTTAGAGGCTTCATCAGCCACCCTTAGAGCATTCCTGCTTTCAAGAGCTGCAACGTCCTGGCTGGATGACCTTAAAGCCATAAAGGACAGATCATTCTGGCCTACACTTAGAAAACTTCCCTTGCAACAGCCTTTGTGGCAGATGCTTCAGTGGATGCAATGGGATTTTCAATGAGGGCCACGGCATCCAGCTTAGCAGTCGGACGCCACAACTAGTTTCATCCCTAGAAGCTCAACACTCACGCCAAAAAGCAACAGAGGGTCCTGGAGCACCTTTAAGACTAACAGAAGTATTGGGAGCATAAGCTTTCGTGGGTAAGAACCTCACTTCTTGCATCTGAAGAAGTGAGGTTCTTACCCACGAAAGCTTATGCT